TCAGTAGGGGTAGAGACCTAGCCTAGTCCATCCTACATCTACCCAGATTCTCCAGAGCACCAGATGGTGCTGGAGTGTAGCCTGGTTAGGTGTGCAGCCACATCCAGACCAGAGTGCAGCCTCCAGTCCAGCCCCCACACTCTCCCATGGGAACCCCAACCCAGCAAGGGTGTACTTTCATAGCCCCTCAGCCAGGTCTATTTCCAGCTCTAGATTATACACATGCCAGTGGTTGCTCTGACCCAATCTGCTTAGTGGCTCACGTGTCTCAGCCTTTGCCTTTGATGCTGTGGCCTAGTATCCCTGGCTCAAGCAGACCAGTCGGTGCAAGAGCCTAGCTCGGCATGACCTGTTTTCCGTCTCCATTTCTGTTCTCCCTTGTGAGTTAAGGTTTGCTCAGCCCTGCCTGGTCTGCCCCCTTCCAATTGCTGCTTGGCCCACCCCACATCCTGTTTTAGGGTGCACATTTAGGGGCTACTACATTGACATGCCCAGACTGTTGTCGGTTCCTTTACCCGTAAGTGACGGCAGGTTCCATGGTCATACCTAGCTCAGCCCATCTCCACTGGAGCTCATGTGTTAATCTGCAGGACTTGTATTTCCACAGGGTTGGGCCCACACTTCCCCCACAGAATCTATCCCCAGACCTGGTTCTCCTGCCTGCCGGTTAGTGTCTTGAACCTGCCAAGTGTGACCCATCCACTGTTCCACCAGTCAGGTGCTGGTACCTAACCCTGCTGGACAGGCCCGCAGCCATAGCTTTCATGGGGACTGGTGTGTAGCAGTCAGTGATACTCTACGCTAACAGCCCATCTCAGGATTCACATGTGGGCTGGTGAATCAGTCTGGCCCAAATAGATCTTAGGGATTCTCTCCTCCAAACCACCAGCTCTCAGTCCCCATACTTGTCAGAAAGTTTCATGACCCCATTGCTGGGAATCACCCAGGATTCATCCCTTACCTACACTCACACTGGGCTTATCCATGGATGTCCTTAGGCAGCAATTACATACCCTAAAAACCCCAGAGCTTGCCACGGGGTGGCCACCAGGCAGAGCCATGCACCAAATAGGCACACTGGCCTCCTAAAGGCAAGGACTTGGTCACTGCTGCCTAAGTCCTTAGCATTGTATGCAGCCTGGCTGGGGAACCCCCTGCAGCCACCATCCTGCAGGAAGCTCCTTTTGCCCCGGCCCCACGGATGAACTAATGATACATATTTAGTGCTATGCATTATCGATGTATTACATGATAATTAGATATAAATGGTAAACAAGTCATATGAATGGCAAATTCATGTTACTTATCCATCACTAAAGCAAATATTTCTGGGATGGGAATGGTAAATAGGTTCTGGTTATTCCAGTCTTCTCTCCCAAAAAAGGGAACTGGTCTTTGGAGGTTGGAAACTCATATTAATTCTTTTGGTACAGGAAAAGCCTAACTTAACAGAAATGCTTAATATTTGATCTGTCTGAATAGAAGCAATATTTACCTTATTAATTCATATGAGTTGTTTATCATTTGTGCAACATACCCAAGTAGCACAATTTCAATTATGCATATTAAAGTGTTTTCTTCCTATAAGCAGAACTAAGAAAGTAAGTTTTGATTGAGCAAGGTAGAGAAAAAAATATAGAGAATTGGACACTGTGAAGCATAAAACATGGCATTTTTAAAGTCCCTAGAAAATAGAAGGCGCAAAACTGAAGGGGCAAAGGAGTAAAACAGCAGGAGAAAGATAGTGAGTGAGTAAGTGAGAGAGGGGAAATGAGAAAAACAAAGGGGAAAAAAGACTTACAATAGGGAAGATAGATTTTAAAAAAAACAGAATGAAAAGAGATAGGTCCAGGTCAGCTCATACATAGCACTGAGAAAATATACAGAAGCACAGAGTAGCAGGATTTATACCTTGCGATTCTCCTTCATACACCCTCCCAGAGAACAAGCCAAGATTTGGCATCACAATGCAATTTTATAAGCACTGGTTTTGTCCACAAAATGGAGAAAATTAAAGCCAGCAAATCCAAGCATTGAGATATAATTTATTGTCAACTCCAAATTTTAAGCAATCCATGCTTCCCAACTGGACTAGATTTATCCAATTTAAACAGGGAAACAAAGACACATTTTTTACATAATAAAATAAGACCTAAAAATAACCCAGGTAATATATTGCTGTAGAAATATTTTAAAAGCTTGTTGTATGCAAGTAACATTCCTAAGGTGAGAATCTCTGCCTGTTCTACATTCCATGAAGACTTGAAAATATAACTGTAATAAATATTTGGAATATTACCATCAAGTAACTAACAAAGTACAAGTACCATTCCACACATGTATATACTTTTTTTTTTATTTACTGAAACATATGAAAGAAAATCTATCCTGTTTTAAAGGTAAAATAATGACTATATTGATTAACTCTTCAAACTACAGTTCTATTATACTATAATTTTATTACATAGAAAAGATTAGAAAGCTTCGCTTAGAGTAGCATTACAGGTTAATTTACCATGCAGTATTTTAAAACTAAAGGCTCCAACTGGAAGGAAGAGGGAAACTTCATGCCTTTTTACTGTGTGAACAATCTATGGACTAATAAGGATAGGATAAATAGGCATCTTCAATAAGTTGATAGCAATTGATATTACAAAAAAATTGCATATGAATTAAAAATAATTTATACCAAAATAAAGTAATCCTTTAATTTCAATTTTTTTGAGCTTCTTTCAAGTTCCCTCACTTGATCAATCCTTCATTTAATTTCAGAGAACTATACATCAGTTTGGTGCACTAAGTTTTTTCTTTTCTTTAATGGTCTTTTCACATTGCGATTTCTTATTAAAGTATGGCTTTTATTGATATAGCTACAGCATGATAGCAAAGAGCCTGTATAAACTCAATAAACTTCAATCTCACAAAAAAATCATGCCTAGATTTCAAATATATAAGTGGGAAAATATGTGACATAAGCCTATAACTCCAAAGAACATTTGGAGAGACATGTCACAATCAAATAGTACACACAGGTTCTCTGAGATTTAGAAACAATCTGAGCACAATATGGCAAAATTACAAAATTACTGATTGTAAAGGACTCAGTATCTTGTTAAAATAAATGTATTCACTGGTTCATTCCTCAAATGGCTTCCAATGGCAAGAGCTGATGATCCCAATTCAGGAGTAAAAAGGACTTTCTCCAAGTCCTCCACGTGAGTGCAGGGGCAAAAGGATCTGGGCCACCCTCCACTGCTTTCCTATGCCATAAGCAGGGGGCTAGAGCAGACACAGAGCAACCGGAACATGAACTGGTGTCCACATTAGATGCAAGCCCTAAATAAAATATTTGTTTGTTTGTTTGTTTTTTATAAAAAAAAATGGCAAGTGTGGGCGCTTGGCCTAGCAATATCTGTTAAAATGCCAATGTCCCACATCACAGTATGTGGGTTCAACTAATTGCCCTAGCTCCTGATGGCATCTTCAGAAGAATAAAGCACTGTAGAAGGCAGCAATCATGCAGGAATTAGTTCGATTCGCAACACCCAGGTGACAGACTTAGATTTAGTAGAGCTGCTCACTCCCAGGTCTAGTGCAGCCCAGGCCCAGTTATTGCAGGCAATTGATGAATGAACCGGAGAACAAAGAGCTGCATATATACACTCACTTTCTTGCTCACGTTTTCTTCCTTGCCTTTCCAAATGAGTAACTTTGAAGATATCAAATAAGTCAAAATAACCCTCCCCTAGAAACACATCATGATTACATCTTGTTTTATTGCTCTTTAAAAAAAAATAAAGCATTTATTTATTTATTTGAAAGGTGGAATTACAGAAAGAATGAGAGAGAGAGGGAGAGAGAGAAAGGGGAAGGAAGGGAAGGAGAAAGAGAAAGAGAGAGACACTCAGGGCCATACATAGCTAGAATTAAAACATTTCTATATAGTGCTTGACTGTACAGAGCATTTTATGTGGCCTATTCCTGACAATGGCCCTGCAACGACAGATGAGAAAGCAGAGTTTTAGAAAACTAAACTTGCTTACCCATGGGAGGCAGAATATCATAATGTATTAAGAGCCCACACAGACCTTGTTTTGAATCTCAGGTCAGCCCATCTACTAATTGAAAGCCTGTACCATTAAGCAATAACTCTAAGCCTCAGTTTTCTGGTTTTAAAAATGCATATAACAGTTATATCACAGAATTATCCTAAGGTCAATGAAGTAATAAATACATAAGGTCGTTGGCTTAATCGCCAGGAAACTTGTGGTACCCAACAAAAGACAACTCTATCACTTAACCCTTAATCCAGAACAACCTATTTAGCCTCTTAAATTGTGTTTTCATCCATAAAATAAAAATAATCACTGCTTTATGCATTTAATGAGATGATGATATACATATCACTTCATGTACAGTGAATGATAAATAATGATATGCATGGATAGACTTTATTTAAAAGAATAAAAGCTAATAAACAGTGGGGAAAATAGAACCTAAAGCTTCTGCAGTGAGCTCTTTCTTAGAAGATTTATTTTAATTATTTGAAAGGCAAAGTGACAAAAAGAAAAAGAGACAGAGAAGGAGATCTTCCATATGCAGGTTCATTCCTCAAAAGCCCTCAACAGCAGTGGCTACAATAGGTGGAACTGAGGAGCCAGGAACTGCATCTAGGTCCCAGATGTCCCAGGTGGGCAGCAGGGGCCCAGATACCCTGTTGTAGTTGCTATTTTCCAGGTGCAGGATCAGAAGTGGAACGTTCTGAACCTACACAGGGTAACAGGTGTTCTAACAGGGGAAGCTGGTGTCAGTGGCAGCAGCTTAACCCACTGTATCACAATGCAGGTTTCCTGGTAAGAACACTTAAGATCAACACAACTAAACATTCCCAATTCTATTAGCCATGATATGGATGACCACTTTCTCATAATGCCATGGAAAAGAAAGCAATTGAGATACAACTCTAAAAATGCTCTCAAAAAAGAAAATATCCAAGTTACCTGAATTAAGGCCTCACTCAGCATGTCTTCATCAACTTCCAGGATCATGTTTTTTATGTCTTCATAAGGCATGCGATATGATCCCAGGAATATTGCTAAAAGAAAATTTTATTATATTTAAAAATAGAACAGCAACAAAAATTTAAAAGTCTTAAGAAATACCTGACATTCATTTCATACTCAAAATATAATTTTTGTCACAAACTTTAATTCACAGATTTATGAACAAACAAAAGCTACTTCCATGTGATAGATGTTTCTAACCATCTAAGCAAAATGACCCATTATCTCTGGCTTTAAAATTTACAGCTCATGTAGATTTCCGTACAAAATAAAACCCTCAGTAATTTAACTCATTATTATGTTTACATTTTAGGTTGGGATGGTACAAAACAGTCCATAAAAACCTAAAGATTTTATTTCACATTGGACTTTTAATTCAATGTATAATTTTGTGTGGAAATTGTCAGATGAAACCAACCACACAGCACAACTTAGCTAAAAGTATGCAAATAAAAAGCAGCCAATCATTTTTCAGTGATCTCCCCTTATACGTGGTTTCCAGTTTTGCAGTCTGCTGCAGAATACAAACCAAGAAATAAAAAGACTTAAAAATATGCAGTTGGAATTTTTAAAGATTTTCTATGTTTAAAGGTTTTAAATTACATGATATTTTGCTTTTCTCTAATTTTTATCAATCTTATTTACTTGTTTGATAGAGTTCACATCCCTTTATTTTCTCTTCACATGCCTATGGTAGCCAGTGAGGGGAGCAGTGCAATGGGGGAAGCAAATCCAGGAAGTAGAAACTGAATCCAGTCTCCTATGTGTGAGTGGCAGGAACACAACTGCTTAAGAGATTGCAGCTGCTTTCCAAGGTCTGCATTAGCAGGTGGCTGGAATCAGGAGCCAGAAACAAGAGTCAAATCCAGGCTCCCTGATGTGGGAGGTAGGTACTTTCATCAGTTCTAACCACTAGGCCAAACACTTCCGTGGTTCAGTTTTTACTGTGTGATGAAATCTCAGGGACTTCCTAATATGCTAAACCCAGGTCACAAGTCATTCTTGTGTCTAGCACATCCATGTTGTAAAAGCTACCTGGCTATTGGTCATCTCTGTTATCAGACTAGCACTGTCACTTTAAGTCATTGCTAGTACTAAAGAAATTCTTATTTTACTTACAATGAACCCAAGAGGCCAGAATAGTTATATCAACAATTCTGATAAGAGAAACAGAAGCCCTAAAGGGCTTTGTTTAAATATTATATACCATCAAAAGAAAAGATGAAGTACCATAGGATATTTTGAGAAAGAGAGGCTACATTCATGTTACTTTCATTACAGTGTATTTTTATAATTGGTCTTTTAGTATTTGCTATAGTTAATATTGCACTATGCCTAACTCATAAATTAAACTTCATCATAGTACATACACATTAAAAAATACAGGCGTCCACTGGAAATCTTGAAACACAACCATCACAGATAAGGGTAGATTACTGACCTTTCAATTCTTTCACATAAAAAAAAGGAAAGTGCCCAGATCATCATTGCCTCTGCTTTCCTGCTGGCAGGAATGTGGCATACTATTAGCCACTTCATACAAGGAATCATGATTTCTCCTCTCAACTTTTTCTTAACTGGATATACATCATATTGAAATAGCTAACAAATTATACCTAGAATTGCTCATAATTGCTCAAAGAATTTTTAATGGCATGTTCCACTTTAATCTCCATTAAATGGTTTTTAAAATAGAGATCTGTTCTCACCACAATCTGAACATACTTTTTTTTCATGACAAAGCTTATGACCTCATTGGTAGTGGAACAAATTTTGTCTATGTAAATGTTATCTGATTACTAGTACCAAATGAGATCCTTCCCAACTGAAACTTAAAAAAAAATGTTGATAGATATCAACCAGTAATTAACATCATGTTGTGTTATGGGAAAGGTATTGAGCAAGAACTTTATAAAGAAAATTTACTATTAAATGAGCCATGTACAAATTCACAACTGTCAGAAGACAGCAACGTTCTGACACAAGAATGATGAGTTGTATGATTTGAATGTTATTTTCTATAGTACATTCTTTAATAAAATTAACTCCCATGGTATTTCCTTTGTAAAATTAGAAATACCCGATGTGCTGAAATTTCTAATACATACATTTCAGTATCTTTAAAATCTAAACAATAACAAGAAAAAAATGATTCTGAATTCAACAAAAAAGAAGTTTGTCAGAATAACACTTAAAGCTTTCTTAAAAGAAGATGAGTTTCATTGTCAAGCTACATTAGCAAAAGCATATTTAATAGCTGACTGGTTTGTTAATATGTCAGTATTAACTAACCAGTTTTATCGTGCAGAGGTTTAACTATTTCACATTACATTTACTTAGAATCTAAAGGAACAACAGTAAAAGGTTTTCCTCAATATGATCAGCAAATACTCTAAAATCCCCACTCCAACCCTAGACAAAACAAACAAATAAATAAATAAACTCCTTTAACTGTGTCTGATGCTTAACTGTGATCTCTAATAATAATGACTTCCCAAAGGGCTGGTGCCATAGCTCAACAGGCTAACCTTCACCTTCAAGTGCTGGGATCCCATATGGGCACCAGTTACTCCACTTCTGATCCAGCTCCCTGCTTATGGCCTGGGAAAACAGCGGAAGATGATCAAAGTCCTTACAACCCTGTTCCCACGTTGGAGACCTGGCTTTGGATCAGCTCTGGCCATTTGTAGCCATTTGGGGAAATGAAACAGTGGGTGGAAGATCTTTGTCTCTCCTCCTTTCTGTAAATCTGCCTTTCTAATAAAAATAAATCTTTCAAAAAAGAAGACCTCACAAACATTTATTATTCATAAGTTTTGGCTGACCTGTCTACGGCTAAATTATGATTTTATCCAGTCTCCATGTTGAGTAAATGACAAAAAAAAAAAAGACATTCCAAATCATGTTTGCTCAGAATTTGCTTCTAGTAGATGTTAAAGACTCACATTCAATGAAGTTACAACTTTGGTGAAATACATTCAACAACCCTTTCCCATCACCACTTCCACCACCCTTATGAAGAAAATGTTACATACACAGATTTTGAGCTGTTTTGGAATCCAAAATTCTCAATTCTTTCAGTTTCTTCTTTGCAGGCATAGACTTCTTTTCCTCTGAAGTTTCAACATTTTTTTGAACTGAAATAAAAAAATGTAGATTCATAAACAACAATGATACTAATCCAAGTACATCGAATGACATTAGTAAGGCATATTAACTACATTAATAAAGTTCATTCTGAAATCAATGAATGTGCTTATTTCATTAGCTCAAGGAAGAGGATAAACATAAAAATATAGACCTGTTTAGAGGTTTCCCTACAAATTAAATATCAGCACTTAAACAGAAAAGATAAGCCAAATAGCCAAAAATCAATTGCTGCTTCTTAGCTAATGTGCAACATTAATTACTTCTTTACCAGGTACCTACAGCAGCACTAGAATTAAGTATATAGCAAAAATTCACTAATTTGGACTAATTGAGGCAAAAGCAAGACTTGCATTTCTCCTAAACTATGTTAAAACTTAGAGATTATTTAATTTAGTGAAGTTACTTTAAACCACCTAAGGTAACGGCAACTGCAAACAGGTTGCCATAGAAAGCACACTATTGAGACTGCTTTAAACAATGAATATGAACCATCTGCAAGTTGTATAATAGTGGCACCTGTTTACATACATATAATTAGAGAAAGGCAAAGATGTAGGTCTTTTGAGTGAGTTATTTCTGTCTCCCTTATTAAAAAAAGTGGTATTTGCTTTCTTCTAAGAATTATTCTTCTAAGAATAAATCTACCTTTACATTTTCCAGAAGACAACCATATAAATCAAAGTGCTTAAATGGACCGAGATTGTCACGTGTGGAAGTGCCAAAGATTGCTTTAGTCCAGTGCTTACTCCATGCCAAATTGCATAGCCAGTGAGTTCACTCAAACCCCTCCCCCAAGTAAATACACCCTAAAAAATATGGCAGACAATTCAGAAAAAGACGAAGTTTGAAACCAAAAACATATACAGTTCTTTGAGTACACTTGCTAGATTGATTCTATTAGCTCCTAGTCTCTCATCATCTCCCAGCCACACTGCCTTGACCCATAGTCTCCATGACCTCCTAAAATTGCCAATCAAGCTCTTACTAAAATTAGCTCACCAACTGGCCCATGTAATACATCTAAGTACCTACAAATTTCTGGAAGACAAAGTTCATGAAGCTATTGTATCTCCCTTGTAGACAATACCGTCATGTTCCTGCTTATCTGGATAACCTTGAGGGATATCTTTCCTAGGCACCTCAGGCCCAAGCAAAACATAGCTATCACCTACATGTAGCCAGCACAAAGTCTGAAGACCGTTTTGCCACTATTAAAATTCCCTAAAGAATATGATATGGCCAATCTAGAAGGGCCATGACTATTGAGGATCAATCAGGAACTTAGAGAGGAGCTCAACAAGGACTTCTCAGCCCCAATGTCAATCTAAAAGAAACTTTACCCCTGATCCCTTAGGAAGCCCCAGGAATTAAGTGACAGCTATCACATTTAAAGCTCTCTGCTCTGAAATAATACCTATTTTTTTTTTCACCACAGCAGTGTCAGTAATTGGTTCTCTACACACTGCAACTGCATCCAGTTTTACAATTCTATATCATTTCCTGCAACCACTTTTGGGGAAGCAGTTCAAATCCCTGAACTGCTACTGCATAGAAAAATCTATAGCCTGTATTATACTCTAGTATTGGCAATTAACTTTTTCCAGTGTAAAACTAGGATTGTATGTAATGGCACTATTAAAATTTTATGAGAAAATTAGGTCAACATTTTTATCAATCAAGGAGTGATAAGGCTTTTGCTTCCAAACCCATGCTTTTAAATTTCATCACTGATTCATATGCCCATAATCATGCTGTTTCTTTATTACTATCACAAATATAACATCACTTTGAGGCAATAATAATATTTATTACTATAATTCATCTAATCATTATAACATCAGAAACAAATCACTGGTTTTCTGTTTAAGATGAAAAACAACATACTACCATAGTGCACTTTTGTTCAGGCAATACATTCATAGCTATTAGCACTCAAAGTTTTTCATGATGCATTATAGAATGCATCAAAAATACTGCAAGTTCATTAAGACTCATTTTGTTCAATGTGTAACATAGAGAAAAATGAAATGAATTAACTTAATATTAAACTAATGGGTAAAATAAAATTCCTTAGTAACTAAAGTTCTAACACTTCTATGCTTTATCAGACTCATCAATATAAAATAATGCACAATTTAAGAGGAGATAAAAATTACATTTGAAAATTATGATCTTAAGATAGCTGACAAATAGTTTATCATATCAAGTCAACACACTAAGGAGTTATTATTACTACTCAAAGGGCTTTTAATATACTGCTAAATTATCATAAATATGACACAAAGGATCTTCCAGGAGGTGGTGGTGTGGCACACTGGCTAAACTGTGACTTGCAACAGCAACATCACATATCCAAACTACCAGATCAGGTCCTTGGGTGCCCTGCTTCTGATCCGGCTTCCTGTCAATATGCATGGGAAGGCAGCAAATTATGGTCTAAATATTTTGGTCTCAGCCACTCCAGGAAGATGAAGTTCCAGGTTCCTGATTTTGGCCCGACCCAGATCTGTCTGGTGCAGTCATCTCTCAAATAAACCAGGAGACAGAAATCAATCTCCCTCTCTCCTTCCTCCAATCCCTCACCACACCCATGCAGGCAGTGAAAGGGCAAACTGAAATTACTCTCTCTCCCTTTTCCGCCCTCCTTCCCTGCTTCTCTTGTTCCTTTCCTTTGTTCTTCCTTTCTAAATACATAAATCCTTTTAAAAAGTGGTATTTTTAAAATACCTACTCATTTTTATTGGAAAGACAGATTTACAGAGAGAAGGAGAGACAGAGAGAAAGATCCTCCATCTGTTTCACTCCCCAAGTGGCCACAATGGCCAGAGCTGAGCCAATCCAAAGCCAGGAGGCAGCAGATTCTCTCTGGTCTCCCACATAAGTGCAGGGTTCCAAGGCTTTGTGTCATCCTCAACTGCTTTCCAGGCCACAAGGAGGGAGCTGGTTGGGAAATGGAATAACCAGGACCCAACAGACACCCGTATGGGGTCTCAGTGCTTGCAAGGCTGAGGATTACAACCATAGATCACAACCACAGGCTTATGATAGACAAGTCTTAGCAGCAATGAAACATTAAATGTCACTACAGCATCAATGATTTCATGTTAAAAATCACCTGTTTCATAGTTACCTCAAAATATCAACTTGCTTAGGATGTTTTCATACCATATGTATTACTAATGCTTACAAAAAAAAGTGCAAAAATTCTAAAATTATCTGAAATTGCTTGGATGTGAATGAAGATTTCACTTTTTTTTTCAAGTTTCGGTAGAAAAACTTCAAACATTGATTTTGTCTTCAATTGTACTACTGTCCTCGGCTTCATAATGAGTCCTGCAGTCAAGCATAATGTTCCCCCACACCAATAAGAAGCCCTATTTCGACTTGGTTTGAAACCAATAGATTAAATTTAGTGCCTATAATGGCACTACTAATTGACACAATAATAATGAAACATAAAATACTGTCTGTAAGAGGATAATGATGCTAATATTAAAGGCATTAGTATTATTAGATATGTTAAAATTGTAGCACTTATTACCTAAGATAAAATGCCCACTGAGCACTCCTGTATTTCTTTTATTACATGGATTTTTATAAGCAAATATACTATAAATTCTTTTACAACTGAAGAATGCTCATCAGGATAAATAAAATAAACACAGTCGTATTCTTTCCCTAATCTAGTTTAGGTAATGTTCAGGAATCTCCCATTAATTTCTACCATCTCCATGGACATACTGAGCACGTGATGAGATGATTATAATTTACATCAAATATTAAGACATTTTAAACAGGTAAAATTGATTCTTTCACAAAGTGATGATGAATCACAAAACAATAATTAAATTGCATTAGTAATTCATCTCAATATTCCAGTGAGAAAGATAAATTTTAAAAGAATTTACAATATTCATTCACTCATTTATTTATTCATTCATTCACAGAGTAAGTGTTTGTTGTACTACACAATGGTGCAAAAGACTTAAAATAAAATACTCATTTTGTGGTCATATATGAACTACTAACTATGGAAGTATCCTTAAAAGCTATATAATAGGATGGTGCAGGTAAAAGCACTGTTATGTCAGCATCATATCTCAACAGTCAGTTTGATTCCTGGCTACTCCACTGCCAAAACAGTTCCTTGCTAATGGCCTGAGAAAAGCTCAAGTTCTTGGGCTCTGGCTATCCACATGGTAGTTCTGAATGGTGTTCCTGGCTTACCCTGGATCATTGTTGCCTGTTGAAGCCATGTGGGGAATAAATCAATACACAGAATATTTCTCTCTATCTGTAGCTCTGGCTTTCAAAAAATAAATGTTTTTTTAAAGCTATAAAACATATCTTATTATCCATAAAAATATATCTTACATGAAATAAGCATATCAGTAAATTATTTTCTGTTTTTCATTTGTGATAATAATCTTGTATTAGCAAATAGTTTTAATCTTTGTATCAGCATCAGCTGATGTGCCGCATCATTTTATAAAGGAGTATGAGGAAAAGTAAAACTACGACACTACATAAAATATACACAGTATAGTACTCTATGTAAAGCTGAATTTTATAAAGCTAACGATAGTGTTAAAAGCACAATGAAATTTACGTAAATTCATGTCCATTACATATAAATATGCATATATATACATATGTATACATATATACATATGTGTATACATATGCATATATGTGTGTGTATGTATATCCAAGAAGTATGTTCATTTAATTGTAAGAACTGGAGCCAGCAGAGTGGTGTAGCAACCTAATCCTCTACCTGCAGTACCAGGACTCCATATGGGCACCAGTTTGTGTCCCAGCTGTACCACTTCTAATCCAGCTCCCTGCCCATGGCCTGGAAAAACAGCAGGGGATGGATCAATTCCTTAGGCCCCTGAACTCAGGTAGGAGACCTACTGAGAACTCCTGTCTCTGGCTTCTAACTGGCTCTGCTCTGACCATTGTGGCCCATTGGGAAGTGAAGCAG